AGTGGATGTCGCTCTGCTGTACAGTAGGTTACAAGTGGGTCACTGTTTAATGGATTCATATGGATGATTTGAATTCAATAATACAATATCATTGTATAAGAAAAACGATTCTGAGCGAAGACGGTATGTCAGTCTAGGTTTAAGACAAATTATACAGAGTGATCCATTTAAGTGGGTACACTAATTATCTCGAAAAATATTAACTTTTTTTTATTTTTTATTTTTTTAAACTGTTAGATCAATGCTTTTCTAAAACTCTATACTATTTTAATTTTTTTCACCCTTATATTTATTGGTGAAACCACTATCAACTTTTGATTTTCAAATGGTAACATATAATAAAAAGATCATGAATTAATAAAACAATTTTTTTTATGAATTTACTCGTTAACATTTTGATATGGTTATATATATAGTATGGTTATATACCTATTATGGGCCTTAGGGCCAGTTGTACCGACTACGATTAAACTATGATTAACAGGGCCGCATTTGAACATTTTGCGCCCCCGGGCAACATATTTTTCCGCCCCCCAAAAAGTTAGTTCTTTAAATGTAAGGAACCTATTATTTTGGTTCATTATTTATGACCCTTGAATGTGGTTAGATTTTGAAATTTTTTTTTGGAAACATTTTTTGTTCAATGAGTTAAGAACAATCAGTGATTCAAACAGAATTTGTCGATCGGACTTAGTTTCAACGTTATACACGAGTTTGCGAATTCCCATCCATCGGGAGTTTGTTTTATTGAATTTCTTTATTAATAATATAAATATATAATATACAGTAAGTACAATAGGTAATTTCTGATTTCACCAAAATTATAAGGATAAAAAACTCACATTAAAAAAAAAAAAATCAAAATATTATTTTTGGTATTTTGATGATGTAAGATTTTAAGGTTTTGAAGTTTTTTTATTCTTATAACTTCAACAGCAAAATTGACCAACTTTTTTTTATAGTACCATCATTAAGCGTGGAAAACACACATTTTGAAGAAAATAAATTCACGAAAATCGTTTTCCATCTAAACTCCATTCCTTCCAATATTTCATACTTTCATCTATTAGTTATCCCTTAAATCACTAGGACAACCCATGTTAAATAAAAATATTATAGTTTTTATAAAAAAAGTATACTGTATACTTAAGTAAAATAAAAATGAATACAATATTACAATGATTTCTTATTCTTTATAAACGTTTATTTTTTTTATCTTATTGTAAATAAAAATTATTATACATATTAATTGAAAGAATCTAGTATCTTTGGTACCCGAACCGTTAAGGTTAATACCTACTCGTATTATAAAAATAAATTATAAACTGAAAAAAATGTATTATTAATTATTTTAATTGCATTTTTTCTGATCTTAATTTTATTAATAATCAGGACGTAGGTATAACGTAAAAGTAAAATAGACATTATTATAATTATGTTGTGTTTTACTTATTTACAACAACACTTGCTGCGGGCTGCTATCATGCCATTATACCTAAGTTATCCAAGAAATTATTATTGTTAGTATAAAAATAGATTTGAGAGAATATCATCCTAAAATAAGCTTTGGAGAAATCTCCACCTAATCACAATACATAAGGAAAAAAACATTTTATATAATTTTAAAGTTATAACTATGTTGGCTTAATAATGTATTTATATTATATTATATTTATTTTTATTTAAGTATATTGTAAAGTAAACCATAAATATAAAGTAAACATATTATTTATATAGGTACCTATATTATCATAAAATTAAAAACTATATGTGTTAATAAACTATTGTACAATACGCGGTAAACCTACTATACGCCTTACCCTCGAATTCTCTAGTTAATGACACTCTCTAAAATTAATTAGAACGGCACTGTTAACTTCGAGGTACGCGCTAGTCAATTCTTAGTTCGTCCCTATCTATAGTTGAAACAACTCAAAGATTACGTCATATACCTTGGCACTATTCTGCAGTTTAATAAAACTTCATTGACACATAGTACGTATATCCCGGCGCTGCTCCGATAAAAGGTCGGAACTTAAGTACGACTAAAATTATCATAAACTCGGGTTTTCAGGCCCTGGAAACACTTTTATTATACATTGACACAAACACATTAATAATTCACTTATTTAAAAAAATACTTGGTCTGTAAAATCGTCGTACCTACGTTCTCGCCGAATCACTCAGCGACAACGTGACTGCTCGTGCCTGCGCGTACGGTGGTATTATAAGGAAAATATTATCCCTGCCTCAGCACATCTTGCTTCGCTGCCCTGACCCGTGTCAATGATTTACGATTTAAAATTTCCCCACCTATACATGACGTGTACATTACAGTGACGACTGACTACAACACACGACAGTACTTGGCAACAATTATTAAGATAGCTCAACACCTATTAGGGTATGAGTTGGTAAGTTTTGAATATCATACCGTAATAGCAGATTTGTTCAAGTAGTTTGCCCCTTAAATTACTGATAAGTGATAATCAACATGTTATCTAATATCCACTTTATGCGCACGATATCAACAACTGCGCAAGCCCACCACGAGCGGTGCATTCCTGTTTTTATCCTGTATAGTGTCGTATTGTCATCTAATCTTTTTGCTCGTATGTACATTCCTAATTAATAATTAATAATAAATAATAATTAATATAATATACTATTCATTGATACGTTCTTAGTAGAGTGCCTTGATGGAGATTGATCGATCTCTATCAAGGCACTCAGTTCTTAGAAGTTATATTATCTTTTCAAGTGCCCTACAAAATAATATGTATTGATTTTTTGGTTTTCAATGTTTGTTTTCAATCGCACTAGGCCGACGAATCGCACGCCATCGACGTAATATTTATGACTTTAATAAGATGTATAGCCGTGCTTTACTGCCATTATCTGTTCAATAATCACAGGCAGTTGGATTCAAAATATGTTTTGGGTAAGATGATTATTATGTATACTAATATAGGATGTATTATATTGTATGGAGTGAATCATTTAACCATTTGACAGTAGGGGACACTCATTATTCAAAAAAGTAAAAATGTCTTTTAAAATATTTTTTTTTACATGGTCTCAATTCGTTACATTGCAATGTTTTTATTCAAAAATTCAGTTTTATACTTTTTTGATTACAACACAGTTTTATTTCATTTCGAAAGCAGACTATTTTTCTGAGTATTTCGATACATAAAAATCGACTTTAGAGTTTATGAGTTTATAGTATTTAAAGTTTAGATGGAATAGTGGAACATTTTGCCAGGTAACCCCGTACCACTTCGTTCCGCTCATCTAAACTTTAAATACCTATAACTCGTAAATTGCTTGTCCTAAATTCGATTCTTATGTATCGAAATTCTTAGAAAAATTATTATAATTTCAAGACCAATAAAAACTAAATAATGTCAATATTAAAACATATGCATATATTTTTAAAAATAATGTTGTTTTTTTATGACTTGAAGCCATGTAAAATCTTTTCTTTCAAAAATATTTATACTTTTTGAAATCATGAGTTTTCAATGATAAAAGAAACGCCCGGTTTATTATATATTTATATATTTAAGTAAAGTTAAACAACCATGACTTCATGTTTACCTCAGTAAAAGACAGGAAAAAAATGGTAACTTCGGTTTAAAATGTCTGTACATCCAGTTGTATAGACTTTACTGACCATTTGTGGTGTTAGATCGTTGCAGTCTAGACCATACACTTTTAACCGGATGAAACGCGGCCTTGACATATTATAATATAGTAAAAAGATTTTATTGATTCTGTGAATAATATCTCAATTGTCAATTACTAACTTATGTAAGCAAGGTCAACAAAAATAATTGATCATATAACTCAGCTTTTTGTTTCATTGTTTTGTTCACTGGCGCAAGTTTATTACTCCCTGATTGATAGAGCTTTCTTTTTTTTTTTAAATTCACTTAAAAGGGTCAGAAAATAAGTTTTTATCTTAAACATGTTATAGGACTGTCATAGTGTCATATCTGCTTTGATAAAAACAAATGAATCATAATTAGGTTTTATTAATTGCGAAGGAACTTTTGATGAGTAATAGACAAAACAAATATCAAGTATTACGAAGTTGCGCATTCATTATTGTTTATGACAATTTTACACTTACATATGTCAAATTTGCATTATGCACTCGGTAAGCATACGTCCTACTTCAGTATATAGAGTGAGTCACTAAACATACCAATTATTTCATAGTTGTTAATTAAAACTTGTAGGTGAATTATTATTTTTATTTATTGTACATAGGTATTATATCTACATTTATATTATTTATATCTACATTCTACAAAACATTTTACTTACTAGGCAGATAATATTAAACTCTTGGTCTTAAATTGTTGGGAAATGTTTGGATATTTTATTTGTTTATCAATTTTTAAAACTGGTTAAATAATTTGATCAATTGGTTTGTTATTGAAATATTATCTTTTGAACATTAAATAACTGCTGCAATTTTTACTTCCATCTTGAATCACTAACTGGTAGCTTGATCCATTTGTTTTTGCTCTCATCAATTAAATTGTGCAATTACCTAGTTACTTACCACTTTCTATTTTTATTATGTATCATTTGATATAATTTCTCAAATTTGTATCAAATTGATTTATCTTACTAGGAAATTGTATTATTTAAATTTCATAGAAAATTAGAAAATTGTTTAATAATTTCACTTATGAAAATTATTTTCAGGTATTGCTGCCATGTTTACAGTATTTTCAATCTTCATTTTTAGTACCATAGTAATACATTACTTAAATGGACACCTAAAGTGAGTATAAGTAATTTGTTACGGCTAAATATGTTAAAAATGATTGACTTGTGGTACCTATAAACACTATTTATTTTTTTGTTACAGAGATGTTCCTATTCCTATTAGTTTTAATTGTTAACTCAAAAAAGCCAGTTTGTTGGCACAATTTGCACTAAGTGGCTGCTCACAGACCGAAGCAATCAATAATACATCTAAAAGCATGTCATTGCTAGGTCCATCATTTTCTTTGGACTCAATTGTATGTAGTCTTGTTATAAGTGTCGGGATGCTGTCAGGTGTCCAACATTTAGAAGTGTATGTTTACATGCATGTCATTCATTGTGAACTATGTGGTAATCTTGATTTTTATCCAGCTTCTTTATCATTGGTATTGGATGTAAGTTATTTTTTTTAAATTTAAATATTAATATTATTGAACATTTGGTTGCTCGGGTATGCAGCAATAGTTTTTCTGACAATGCATTGTTTAATTAACAGTTACTTAGAAGAGGAGATGAAAATGGTATGCTGTTTTGGGGTGAACGTAATCAGATAACTGCATCATGACCCAATCACACAAAGCGTTAAGGTGATAATGCCAGTGGGTGTACTAGTGGGTGTCAGTGGGTTGTTCACGTACAGAGGTACAATTTCATTCATAGCTTTAACAATAGAGTCTAGGATTTGCATAAGAAACACTACCTACCTTTACTTATTATTTAATGATCCATAATATTTTACTGTTTGTGTATTCATATATATAATATATATATATATATTATATATTTATTTATTTATACAGAAAATTAGTTTTTATTTTCTTAGAATAAAAAAATTTAAATAAAAATTAGTACAATAGAATGTATTCTTATAACATTTGTATGGTTATATGTTTTCTTAGAAAGGAGAACATTCAGTTTGCCTTCATTTGCCTGTAATATTTTAAACTTGAAACTTGTTCACTACATTTTAGTCGATGAGCATTGAGTGGTATGGAAACTGAAACAGATAGTATGTTAGGAGTACAAGTTACCAAGTTTGCTGTATTTAATGAAACCGAAGAGAATTACCATCGTTCTGTTCATATCTCTATTGTGCAGTAAGTGTGAATGTCTGTAAATAATTTATTTATTCACATCAATTACTTTAAAAGAATGTCATTGTATGAATCTAATATTAACCTTTTTTTTTTCATAGTTGTATGTCTAGTCATATAGTTATATTGATACTTTTACTAATAATGATAATTTGGTTTTGGTTCTTTGGAGACCATGATGATCTAGCTCATACCTTAGCCCAGGTGAATAAAAAACAGTCAACAAACAAATACGGTGAGTACAATTTTAAAATACGCATACTGTATAGTAATATGAACAGACATTGTATTTAGCAGTGTTATAATTTTTTTCTACTAGTCTTGACCTTTCAAAATTGGAAATATTTTTATTGCTAATAATCATTCATTTTAAAGCATTATACTATAACAATTTATGAATATTATCAATAAATACAATTTAATTAGTATATTATTATATTAATTCAAACTATTTAACAAAAATAAAAGACGCCCAAAATATTTTAATTTTTTTATATACAGGTCATTCAGTACATGTCCATGAAACCCAAAAAGATTTTAAACATACACATAGCCAAACTACGTATTAAAAAGCATCAGTTTATACTTCCAACAAAATGGTTCAAACAGAAAATGTTGATTGTTACAACAATGTGGAAATCAGGCCTTTTGATGAATGTTTAGATATTTTTAAGACTCAGGTAAATATTTAATACTCTTACAATAATCTTGGTATAACCTAATTTTTTTCAGTCAGTATTTATAATTATTCTTAACTTATAAAAATATGCATATATTGCATATGCTTAGTGAAGATAATTTTTTTACATGAAACAAGTTATTAAACACAAAAATTTCCCCTGTATATCTTTTTATGCAGTACAATAGAATATAATTATTTAATATTTTAAATGTATTTAAAATGAAGTCATATATACATAATATGTTGTCTCTGTCTTACGTATGGACATAACCAAATTTGCAATTCAGCAGTTCCAATTTTTTGATGTTCAATTTAATATTATAGTGAATTCTGTATTGTCTTGTTGGTTTTTTGTAATGTTTTAATTTTAAAGTAAGTTATGAGTATTTTTAAATTTTAATATTTTATACACTCATTACATAATTAAACATTAAAATATCGTAAAAACCAACAAGAGGATACAAATAATGTTCTTATCTGAACGTTTTATAATAAGTCAACTTACCTAATATTTAATTCAACCCAAAATTAAAACTCCTAAACATAAGTTTTGATATGTTATAAGTTAGTAAGATGGATACAAGTATACAACACATGCGTGTATTATGTATACAATTTTTAAGAAAAAAAATTGTTTTAAGGAAGGCATTTCGTGAATCCTCTTAAATTAAATACCATTCATATGCATCAAAAGCGTTTGTTTTAATATTACAAATAATGTCTCTTTAATCAAATCATTAATTTTATAATTACAATTAATATTTAAATTACTAATAAATATTTAGATTTATTTTTATTTATATAAAATTTTGTTAAATCTATAATTATTATATATATTTATTGGGCTTATTTATGTAATTATGTTAACATTTTAAAAATGAAGTTATTAATTTCCAAGGCTGGCATTAACGAGTTAAAAAGTTAATTTTATTTTAACTCTTTAACTTAACTGGTTACTTTTGGATTTTCATTAACTTAACTGTTAACTTACTATATTTCTTTTTTAATTAACGTGAAAGTAACGAGTTAATTTTTCATTTTAAGCAGTAAGTTAAGTTAATTTATTTTGTTTTTAATTTAATTATGTTTCACTATTTCAGTCTATTTTGTTTTCATTTCAAAAAATATGTATCATAAATTGTTTAAAGTTAAAAATTTATATCATTTGAATTTAACTTATATGGAAATACTGTATAAAGTCTATAATTTAGTTTTTGGTTGGAAAAAAATGAAGTACTCCAGCTTTGTAAAAACAAATTAACTTTTTTTTAACTTAAAAAGTTAACAAAAAGTGTGTATTAACTTTTCACTTAACTGAGTTAAAAAAAATCATTAACTTGCCCAGCCTTGTTAATGTCTATTAACTACAATCATATAGTTATGGGGATTTTTATACTTAGTTAGTGTGTGTATGTGAATGATGTTAAGTTGTATTATTTAGTCATACAATAGCAATATTATTATATATTATAGTTCATCGAATTTAAAGTAAAAAAGCTCAATATTTTTAATTAATTCAAGCATATATTGTGTAATAAGTAATTGCTAATTACACTAATTATTTTTATGGTATAAACTATTAAAAATAATTATTAATATTGATTGTGTTATCCTTAGTGTGTTGTTTTTACTATTTTAGCCAACTCATATTATTTTATTAACTCTACTAGATTCCGGTGTTTGTCATCCCGCCTACGGCGGAAAGACTGTGTGGGCGGTGGTGCATCTTTGTCGGCGATGCTGGGTTTTTTTATACGGTCTGTGGCGGGAAGGGGGGGGTCGTCGGGTATTGTGTTTTGTCGTGTTGGCAGCACTGGTTAAGCGGTAATTTTTAAACTCGGAAGAGTGTCTAGTCGTATGTGTGTTGAAATCGGAAATTCGGATTCTGAGTTGGAGTGTCTAGCTATCAGTCATCTCGGGTGAAAGTCGATTCCCGAACGGACAATCCACCTGCGGCTTGTATGCAGTGGGGGTGTATGTCGCTCGTATGCAAGTAGCTAGTCAGGTAGGCAATCCGACTACGTCGGATCGCAGACCATGCACCGGGCGTGTATGTCCGGTTCTCGTATGTGTGTTGAAATCGGAAATTCGGATTCTGATTTTGAGTCTCTAGCTATCAGTCATCTCGGGTAAAAGTCGATTCCCGAGTGTCGGATGCAGTGGGGGTGTAAGTCGCTCGTATGCAAGTAGCTAGTCAGGTAGGCAATCCGACTACGTCGGATCGCAGACCATGCACCGGGCGTGTATGTCCGGTTCTCGTATGTGTGTTGAAATCGGAAATTCGGATTCTGATTTTGAGTGTCTAGCTATCAGTCATCTCGGGTAAAAGTCGATTCCCGAGTGTCGGATGCAGTGGGGGTGTAAGTCGCTCGTATGCAAGTAGCTAGTCAGGTAGGCAATCCGACTACGTCGGATCGCAGACCATGCACCGGGCGTGTATGTCCGGTTCTGGAGTGTGTGTGTTGAAATCGGAAATTCGGATTCTGAGTTTGAGTGTCTAGCTATCAGTCATCTCGTTGTCATATATTATTATATATGAAATATATAATAATATAATGCAAATTTAAAAAAAAAATTAACACTTTCGTTAAAAATGATAAATGTGACGAAAAAAAAAAAACGCAAAAAAAAGAAATTCGATTTAACACGGCCCCGCCGGCGTTCGAAACCACGACCGTCGAATCACCCGTTTTAACGCCTAACCTACCTAGCCACCTACCGAGATGAAATTAGGAGTCAAATCTATGACTCTTAAGGGCGTTTGAGCGGACCACCGTGTCCGCCACCTTCGGACGTTCAAAACGCGAGATTTGCGAAAAAAATCGAACCTCGAGGCGCATGTATATACATGCGTATATATGCCTGTATATAGCGATACGTAAACGGTACCTACTCTCGTTTCCGACACACTACTCCACCCCGGACTCGTCTGTGGCTATAAATATAGCAGGGAACGCGAATAAGTAGTCGACGGGGAGGGTGATATGACCGAAAGGGGCTAAAACTATAATTTTCAAAAAAAACGGCAAAAAGAGCAGTCATATAGTCGTACTATTTAACTGCCAGAGTTTAATCAGTTCTATTAGATCTATTAGTTTATTAATACCGTATTAAACAGTATTTAACCTAAAAACTGTAATATATCAAGTAGGTACTACATGTAGGTTAGTTATATTATATTGTATTTATATAAGAAACATATAGGTGCGTTGGTCACGGTAAAATCAAGTATTATTATTATTATTTATAAAATAGTACAGTATCATTATACAATTTAGTTACAATTTAAAATATCTACTTTAATATATATTAATATTTTTTTGCCAAAAAAAAAAAAAATGTGACGAAAAAAAAAACTCGAAAAAAAGACATCCAAATTATCAAGTTTATCAAATTAGCTAATTATCGAAAATCCCAGAGGCCGGGTTCGAACGAACGACCCTCGAGTCACTTATCCTAACGCCTAACCAACCTAGCCGCCACCTACTCAGATGAAATTCCGAGGCAAATGTATGACTCTTAAGCCGCGTCGCCGTGCTCGCGGCGATAAAATAAAATTCTTATCACTTTCCTTATCAATAAAAACAATATTTAAGAAAATCCCAATAAATCCTATCAAAAACTCAAAACCCCGAGTTTCCCCTTGGCGAGGTGGGTGTTAGTACTCTCCCGGACCAAAATCCATCAAAAAAGCAAAATCCAAAAAGGGGGGGAGGAGGTGCCCCCGTTCCCTAAAGCGGAAAACGGTAGTATTCATAAAAAGAATGGGTTCCCCCTTGGTCCGAGGTCTTTAACTTGAATTCCGGCCGAGTTATACTCAACTCAAAATGTGGGGGGGGTGGGGGCTTTGGTTCCCTAATGTTGAAAATTCATCTGGGGCCTAAAAAATTGAGATGCCCATTGGTACGGGGTCTCTAAGTCGAATACCGGCTAAGTTATACTTGGTCAAAAATAATTACTCGTTTAATGGGTCCCCCCACTCCGCCCGACGGTCGCGGGGTAATCGATTTATAAGACGTTATTATCACGTCAAAAAATTGAAAAACACGGGTTTTTTTTTAATAATAATAATAATAATGTTCGAAAATATTAGGATCGATAAGGAAAAGGGAGATAAGCGAGCGGAATTTATAGCGAACGCGCGGGAAGTATTGTGATTGGTCGTCATGGAAGAAACGCGGAGTGCCGTGAGCGCTCCCCGCGGATCTTATACGCGTTATTAGCGTTTTATTATATAAGACTAGATTCCGGTGTTTGTCATCCCGCCTACGGCGGAAAGACTGTGTGGGCGGTGGTGAATCTTTGTCGGCGATGCTGGGTTTTTTGATCCAGCCTGCGGCGGGAAGGGGGGGGGGGTCGTCGGGTATTGTGTTTTGTCGTGTTGGCAGCACTGGTTAAGCGGTAATTTTTGAACTCAGAAGAGTGTCTAGTCGTATGTGTGTTGAAATCGGAAATTCGGATTCTGAGTTGGAGTGTCTAGCTATCAGTCATCTCGGCTGAAAGTCGATTCCCGAACGGACAATCCACCTGCGGCGGATCGTATGCAGTGGGGGTGTATGTCGCTCGTATGCAAGTAGCTAGTCAGGTAGGCAATCCGACTACGTCGGATCGCAGACCATGCACCGGGCGTGTATGTCCGGTTCTCGTATGTGTGTTGAAATCGGAAATTCGGATTCTGATTTTGAGTATCTAGCTATCAGTCAACTCGGGTGAAAGTCGATTCCCGAGTGTCAGATGCAGTGGGGGTGTAAGTCGCTCGTATGCAAGTAGCTAGTCAGGTAGGCAATCCGACTACGTCGGATCGCAGACCATGCACCGGGTGTGTATGCCCGGTTCTCGTATGTGTGTTGAAATCGGAAATTCAGGTTCTGAGTTTGAGTGTCTAGCTATCAGTCATCTGGGGTGAAAGTCGATTCCCGAGTGTCTGATGCAGTGGGGGTGTAAATCGCTCGTATGCAAGTAGCTAATCAGGTAGGCAATCCGACTACGTCGGATCGCAGACCATGCACCGGGCGTGTATGTCCGGTTCTGGAGTGTGTGTGTTGAAATCGGAAATTCGGATTCTGAGTTTGAGTGTCTAGTTATCAGTCATCTCGGGTGAAATCCGATTCCCGAACGGACAATCAGCCTAGAGCGAAAAGTGCTCGAAACGGCCGTTCAAATATGAAAAAGCATACAGGAGTTAATAAAATTGTATTTTTTGATAATTATAGAGAACAGTTATCAGGTGTTTTATGTTGTATTTATAATCAATGTAATCATTGTTATGTTTTCGCGGTTATAACAAATAAGTCGACAAAATCTAATTTTCTGATATTTTCGAATATTTTCTAAAATATACCTACCATGTATATTTATTTAATTATGCGAATTAAATCAAATTAACAAATAGATAATTATATTGGTGAATAACAAATTTTATTGAAATGTAATAATATCCTATTAAACGTAGGAATGTATAAATGAATACACTATACAATTTTTTATCACTTATCTTCGTAAGTACCTACTATCATAATATTTTGCTGTTTTATTGTACGACTGTATATAATATATTATGTACCTACCTACTAATTTATTTAATGTCATATGATATTTATGATGTTTTAAATTATTTAGTAATTATAATTGCATAATTATAATGGTGCATCACTGTGTTATGACTTATGACTTATGTATTATGTGTATGAAAGTGTGTGTGAAAAAATCGAACTTTTTGTCGCATATTTTCGAATTTTAGAAAAAAAACGCAAAAAACGACGCGACGCATGTATTTATTGCTGTATATAGTGATACTTACACGGTACCTACTCCCTTTTCCCTGACGCCGCTCTTTCCCGGGACTCGTCTGTGAAAAAGTAGGGCCGCGCACCTGCTATAAATTTAGCAGGGAACCCGAATAAGATTCAAACGGGGAGGTCCGAAGTCAGAAGAGGCGTTAAAACTCGAATTTTGAAAAAAATCGGAACAAAAAAATGATAAGACGGAAGTGATAGCGAAACGACGAAAAAAAAATCAATTTATCGAGTTGCGGGTTGCGAGTTGCGGGTTGCGCGTCCGTCAAAGGGCGTTTGAGCGGAGGACCGTGTCCGCCGTCTTCGGACGTTCAAAACGCGAGATTTGCGAAAAAAATCGAACCTTGAGGCGCATGTATATATATTATATGTATGTATATAGCGATACCTACACGGTACCTACTCTCGTTTCCACCCCGGGACTCGAATTTTCGAAAAAAACGGCAAATGAAGCAGTCATTACTATTTTTTAATATAGTATTTATAATCTATAGCGGTATTTAACCAAATCGGAATCACGTAAAAACTGTAATATATCAAGTAGGTACTACACGTATAGGTTAGTTAAATTGTAATGTATTTATAAAAGAAACATGTAGGTGGGTCGGTAAATGTTAATTATAATAATTTTTTTGCCCAATAAATATCGTCAAACGAATAATAATAATATATATAATAATATAATAATGCAAATTAAAAAAAAAATGAACACTTTCGTTAAAAATGATTAATGTGACCAAAAAAAAAAAAACGCAAAAAAAAGAAATCCGAAATATCACGGGCGCCGCAAATTATCGAAAATCCCGGCGGCCGGGTTCGAACCCACGACCCTCGAGTCACCTATCCTAACGCCTAACCAACCTAGCCACCTACTCAGATGAAAACCGGAGTCAATTCTATGACTCTTAAGCCGCGTCCCCGTGCTCGCGAAAGGCGAACGCCGTTTGGAAAGCCGTCAAAGGGCGTTTGAGCGGGCGATCCGACAGCGTCGGCGAGCGGACGACCGGCTTCGCCGCCCTCGGACGTATAATACCCGAGCTTTGCGAAAAAAATCGAACCTCGAGACGCACGTATTTATGCCTGTATATAGCGGTACCTACTCGATACCCCATCGGTACCTACTCTCGTTTAAGCGACGTCGCTCCTCCCCGGGACTCGTTTTTGAAAAAGTAGGTACCCTCGCCGGCTATAAATTTAGCGTGAAACTCGAATACGTCGCCGGCGGGGAGGTCGGACGTCTCGTAGAGTTGCTACACGCGACTCTAGTCGAAAAAGTCGAGAAAACCGTCGAAACGGCGACGACGCGGCGCCCTCGGCGATCGATACGTCCGCCGGGGCACTCGTTTTTGAAAAAGTAGGGCCACGTTTCGACGTTAAATTTAGCGGGGAACGCGAATAAGATGCAAACGGGAAGGTCGATACGCCCCAAAACGCCTAAAACTCGAAGTTTCGAAAAAAAATGCAAAAAACGCGCGCGACGGCGGCGCTCGGTTCGCACGCGATATCCGCCGCAGGGGGCCCGCCGGGAAAAAAGTAGGGCCGCGCACCGACTATAAATTTACCGAGGAACGCGAATAAGGTCCGAACGGGGCCCCCCGAGGCCCCCCGGGGGGGTAAAACTCGTTTTTTTTCGAAATTTCTTTGATTTTCGAAAAAAACGGCAAAAAGTGATAAGAGGAGTGATAACGCAGCGACGGCTCCGCCGCCGCCGGGAGACCGCCCGCGGATAGAAATCTAATTTTCCGATTGGTGAGTTGCTTACGCTAGTTCGGATTTACTCCATAAGCTGCGCCCTCGGGTTCACGTTTTATAGTATAAGATTAAAAATATTTATGTTACAAGTACATAACTTTCTTATGTACTTCCAAACTTTTATTACATAAAAAATACATAGTGGAACATAATAAGGAATTAAACATGTACCATCCATAAACTGTTATCTTTGCCGTGCATACTTTATAATGGGTTATGATAAATATACATATTTATTATTTAGAAATCGGCTGAACAATTAAATGATAATGAAGTATTAATGTTAGTGAAATCAAACCATATAAAACCGTACATGTTGGAAAAATGTGTCAATAACCCAGAGAGGGGTGTTGGTCTTAGAAGAAAAATTAATTGCAGCAGAAAGCAATCTGACGGAAGCCTTAATAGAATTACCTTACATTGGTTATGATTATTCTAAAGTAAGGAACAACTGATCAATTATATAGTAGAGACTAGGGAATTATATTCTGTATGACTGTATTATTGAAATTTCTTCTAGGTACTAGGAACCAATTGCGAGAACGTTAAGGATATGTAGCTGTGCCTGTTGGAGTAGCTGGACCATTACTTGTGGATGATGCGTTTTATCAAGTACCCATGGCAACCACTGAAGGTTGCTTAGTGGCCAGTATAAACAGGAAGTAGAGCACTGACAATATGCGGTGGCGTAATAACTAGAGTTGTGGATGATGGTATGACTAGAGGACCTGTTGTTCGATTTTCTTCAGTTACTACTAGGTATGTATGTAATTTTCCATTCAGCTATTGAGAATATTGATAAGTAAATATTTTTTTTACAACATATTAGCAAAGCAAAAATGTGGATGGACAATCCAGAAAAGTTCAAAATAATTAAGGCGGCATTTGATTCAACTAGCAGATTTGCAAGACTCACAAAATTACTTGAACGTATTGCTGGTCGAATGGTCGATATCTGTTTATTCGGTTTACAGATTCTACGGGTGATGCAATGAGCATGAATATATTATCCAAAGTAAAAAAAAAAACACTATTTAATATTTTGTTAAATAATGTCACATTGACCCTTAAATTAAATTTAAATAATACTTATTTTAATGTTTTTAATAGGGAACAGAAAAATCATTCAAAGTCATCGGAGGATACTTCCCCGACATGGAAGTTTTAAATTTGAGTGGTAATTTTTGTTCAGACAAAAAGCCAGCCGCAGTCAATTGGTATGAAATTTTTAAAAATTGTATGCATTTTTCCATTATATTATTTACATTTTTTTCTTATATAGGATTGAAGGCCGTGGAAAATATGTTGTTAGTGAAGCAATTGTACCTTCAAAAATTGTCACTGAGGTACTGAAAACTACTGTAGCAGCATTGGTTGATGTTAACATAAGCAAAAACTTGATGGGATCAGCTATTGCTGGTAGTATTGGAGGAAATAATGCACATGCAGCCAATATTGTTACAGCTGTATACATTGCTACAGGACAAGTAAATAAATAACTATTTTTTTCAACATAATATTACTAGCTGATCCCGCTCACTTTGTTGCCCGTAAAAAATTGTAATTGTTCAACTCCTTTTGGGTGTAACTCGTTGTAGTAAGTGCCACTCAGACATTATCATTTTAACAATGTGCAACAGCATATCAAGTAAGCAACGACACGCTGATGAGCGGCTTTAATTGCAACTCAGCCACCTTTGTAGGCAATGTGTGAAAATTTGATTTGAAGCATGCTTGTACCTGATCTGCCTGATAACCAATAGCAACCGTAAATAAACAAATATGTCCATCGTAAATCTCAAACTTCCTGCTTGAGCACCTCCGAGGGTTGGACCTAACCTTCCTCTTGAATCATCTATCAATTAAAAACAACCTCATAAAAATCCGTTGTGTAGTTTTACAGATCTAAGCATACAGACAGACAGCGGGACTTGGTTTTATACTATGTTAAGATAACATTTTAATATTTTAGCCATATATTTAGTTATTTACCCTCAATATTTTAGGATCCAGAGCAGAATGTGGCTAGCAGCAATTGCATGACACTGATGGAAGCATTTGGTGAAGACCTGTATGTATCATGTACAATGCCTTCGGTTGAGATTGGTATAGTAGGCGGAGGAACTTCATTACCTGGTCAATCTGCGTGTTCGGAAATGCTTGGCGTACGAGGTGCAAACTCTCGAACCCCTGGGGCCAACGCTAAACGATTAGCACGTATACTGTGTGCAACAGTTTTAGCCAGCGACCTGTCGCTGATATCGGCCCTGACTGCTGGTCATTTAGTAAAAAGTCACATGATTCACAATCGGTAAGTGTTTTGTTTCTATTTGTTTGATTATCTATAACTTTTTTAATTATTCTCATTTTTAAAATACAATATCATATGGAATTTTTGGAAAAACAAGACAACATTGTTTGCCCAAATGAGTGTAGTGATATTTAGCACTATTTGGATACAATTTTATAAATTAACTTTTGTTACCTTGCTTATTGCACAAAATGGGAACCACAATTTAAGAACTAAAACCAACTATTTTTTTTCACAGGTCCTCCGCTCCTTCCATTCAGAATTTAGAATCAGAACCATCCGAATCAAACAGACTATTTACACACTGTGTGTCTTGAGTGACGTGAAATTAATTAATTTTTCTTCATACTTCTTACTTAAATCTATTTTGTTAGAATCTATGTTGTATGTAAACAAATGGCATTTTATTGAACAGTCAATATTTTCTGTGAGATGATGTTTTTCTCAGTATTTTGTCAACAACACAAAGAAATCAAAATATTGTGAAATGGATAAATGAAATATATATAAAAAAAAAAAAAAACAGTTTATTTTTATTGTCATTTTAAGTTCAGATTTGGATGAAATTACATAATAAAAAACCTAAAATAACTATTTTAGTTATTTTGTGGTGATTGTATAATATCATTCGTGGGTACTTGAAAGTTCTAAAGTACACTATTATATATCTATATAGTATCATGGTTTGCCGTTGATGTATAACGCGTTATAAGTACCTAATGGATATTGTGACATGATTAATTTGGAATTTCTTATACCTACCTATTATAGGTAAATTTTTTTTAATACCATAGATAAGTATATAATATGTCTTATACCCACGATTTAAGATAGTATGGTTGCCCAACGAGGTATGATAAGACGGCATTGGATTTAAATCGGACCGCCAGTGCTAGCGCTTCTAGTGGACGCTTCTAGCGCTTCTAGGGGAGTAGCTACCCAGCAGTAACACTTGACGAAAAATATATAACATATTCCATAATATACAATTTATGTAAAAATATGTACAAACATGTAGCAATTAAAATTCTTTGTTCAAACTTCCTATTTATAAAATTATAATCATTTTAATATTAACATACAATTGAAAATTAAAAATTATTTTGTTAAATGTTGTAAAAGTCAAATGATTTTGTTCGATCTAGATATTATGTGTTATTAAATAGTTTTATGGACATATTAAAGTATATGTTCCACTTAAAAATTATTATTAGTTATATGTATTATTAAATTGTATACGGGTTTTTTATCTTTTGTTCCACAATTTTTACAATTGTCGATTTATATATTATACATTAGTCAATTAGTGTAACCATTAGAGTTTAGAACTATGCGTATATGCAACAAATTTCACAATTGTTGAAGAAAAACTAAATAGAAAATGTGACAAAAACTCAGAAACTTGAACGTGAAAAAAATTTGATTTTAATCTTAAAACTAACTTTAAACATTAATAAATACAATAATATTCATCCCTTTTTCTTAATTATCATCATTAATCTTGTTACAATATGACACGGACACACATGGCAAGGTAATATAATAAAACATTTTAAGACCATAAATGACATGATAATTTTAAATTGAAAAAAAGTATGAAGTAACAGTTAGCAAATTTTTTATGTTATTATCAAAATAAATGCATATTTTAAAATAAATCTTAAGTTTATATTTTAATTATTTTTTGAACAAAAATTATTAATTTTATGGTGCCTGCTCTGTTGATTGTCACTTTCCAAATATTGAATAAGTATTTAAACAATCAATATTAGATAAGTATCATTTCAATTAATGTCTTAAGTCTAAAAACGTTACAATTATACTGAGTTTAACAATGCATTATTGTGCCATAATACTTGAATTGTAAATGTAGACTGCATGTCATGTAAAATGGATTAGACGACTAAAAACAATAATGAATCTCATTCTACGAGAGCTAATTGTATTTACTTGTTTCTAGAGTAATGATAACCGTTTAATTAACTCTAAGGTCTTAACGGTTTATAAATGGAAATCTTGTCATCTAACTTTATTTTGGAACAGCTTGTGAGTCAAAATTAGAGTGCCTTTATCTCTAGACACTCTAATTTAAATACTCAACAATGAACAAATGAACACTTCTTTGTAATTACTAGAACCGTGACTGAGTATTATGTTTCATACTTAGAAAATTATAAACTTTGAATACCTAATAAATTCTGCATAGAAATGTTTTTGTCATTATTTGTTGTACTTAGTAGTATCGAATAGGTACTCAATTAAAAAGAAACTAACTAATTTCACTTATGACAAATAAATAATTTGATAAACACCAAATTTCCATCCACCTCCTTAATGAATGGAATACCTAGGATATTTAAAGATTTCTAATACCTACTTCTATAGGATGAGAATTTTAAATTTACATTTATTACAAATAAATGTATTAAGATTATTCCACCCTATGATTTTCTGTCTTTATCCAACACACGCGCAACATAGGATCTTAGACGTTTTCTTTGCCAAACGTACCCATTGATCTAATGAAGCGATAAGAATTCTGAAAACAGATTTCAATTTTTTGTCAACTCTGCTTGAAATCGATTATTTCACATTTTTGATATTATTATCCCCAAATTTCCTAAAAATGTTATGTTAAAAAAGAGTAATTAAAACAAGGTGGGCAAGTGGTTGTAGCTCTGCAATACAGTAGGTTACAAGTGGGTTGTTGTAATGGATTATTCACTGAATAATCATTATTGGGTTAAATTATAGTTCAATGATAAAATATCATTGTATAAGAAAAACGATTCTGATCGAAGTCGGTCAGCCAGCCTATGATATTACAATTAGGTACCTAGGACCTAGGTTATTTTGAAAACTACTTCAACATTTTTTCTTTTGACAACCTAAGTACCAATTATATTCACTTTAATATCAGAAACGATATTGTTGAAAAAAATCTAAGCATTTTTACTGTCCTAAAAAGTGATAACAAACACAACAAAAAAACACACATCATTGTAAAATCAATACATTCATCTCTCAGCTCCGCTCAGAATCTAAAATTGTGGTGTTTCAATTTTTGGAGAAATTAAAATCAAAAAATCAAAAATATGGGAAAGTCGATTTTCAGTAGACTTGACGAAAAATTAAAATCTGTCTATAGAACATTCTTATTGCTTCATTAGAACATGACTCAGGGACTAAAATTGTGTGTAGTACGACACACTTTGCGTGTAGTACGAAATACTCTAAGTGTGGAATACGAAATTAAAAAGTGTGTAATGGCCTGTAATAACTACTATACTAGTTTTTTTTTACACTTTTTTCTTCATTAATTGAAAAATTATTTGATGTTTCGTTGGGAAATAGATAGACAACAATTTTAAATATTAATAATAATTATTACGTATTATTAGGAGTCGATTTTACAAGTTTTACTTATAGATACAATATTTAAAATATTACAAAATAAAAATATTTCGAATAATCGATACAAATTACAAATAATTATCAAACAATAGTTAGGTACTGAATGTATTTACCTATATTTTTTTAAAAGAACCATTAACATATTTACCTATGTTGTTTCAAATCAAAAACAAAATAATTTTATTGTTAATGTTTAAACACTATTTATTATACAATCATTTTTTTAATGATAGCTATTCCTAAACTTTGTGTTTATTTATAATTAAATATTAACAATGTGGTAATTACATTAATTAGCTTTTAAAAAACATTTCATCAATCATTTTCATGTGATTATGTACCTAATATTGAAGTCTGGGATGTTTTTTCCTAGAATCGGGGATTTTTATTTCGCAATTCACTGTCTATAATAGGTATTGTATTGTATTAGGTATTATAGTTCTGTGCATTTGTTGCAATATTATGTATAATACCGAATTAATTATCGTAGCAACATAAGGACATAAATCGTTAACTTGCGATGTAGTCTATACTCTGTAGATAAAGAAAAATAGAAATTGATTACTCTATAATATGTTTATGTGTATAGATTCAATACACTTCTGGTGGGGTGGCAAAGCCTCTCGCGGTAACTAAAAGTTTAATATAAAATGTGTAGTACGAAAAAAATTATATTTTAGCCTCTGGAACATGTTGGTATGTTTGGCAAAAACATGTATAAAATCTTATGCCTAGTTTGTGTTAGACAAAGACAGAAAATCACGGTAGGTATTGAATCCTCTTGTAACGTGTTCGTGGGAACGATCGGATAAGATATCCAAGCAGAATCGTAGGATCAAATAGACATAAATAGATATTATATAGTATATATAAAAAGTCATTAAAAATGTTATAATATACAATATGTAGGTAATATTATAGGTATTATAATTAAGTCAAAATAATCAACTTTTTTTAAATTTACAGGTTAGGTAAAACAGACATGACTTGGTGATATAATATATTTATAAATTAGAATAATTGTATTTTATTATCAAAAGTAAAGTAAAATAATAATGTGTATATTTCTACAATATTATATAAGATGATATTAAAAAAACAAAAAATAAAAAATAATATCGACAAAATCTTCATTCGGTCAAATCGTATTATTCCTTTTTCTATTATATTTTGATTATTTTGAAGTATCTAAATATTATCTGTAAATGTACACCGCAATTCATCTGACGCAAAAATATAATTGCATCTCGATCATCCATGAACGATACAAAGTGGGGATGACAAACTTCAATACACTTTATACAACCAACACCTCCTCAGAGAAGCAAGCTCTCTCGGATCACTTGTTAGCGGGTCTCGGAATACTCGTCTTGGCTCTCAATAATAATCGTTTGCGGCTCTTGGCATGCACAGTGCACACGTCTCTCTTCATATATACTCTGCGGATATTCCACGGACACTCTTCGGATCACTTGGATTATTTGGAAGGACTCATTCTCGGATCAACAATATTGTTCCACGGAAACACGATGTTTTGATGCAGTATGATACGGCCTGGAGGGCTGTATTCTATATGAAGACAAAAAGCACAATGTCCTACGTCCACGTAAAATGATTTCGACACACCTCCATACATTAAAATATAACTCTTTTATTGCGTATAAGTTAAATTAATTCATTTCCATACTAAAAATCTTACTATACTGCGTTAATGTAAACACCAGGTATAAACTTATATTGGTATATTCATCTTAACCTTTATAATCTAAAAAACACTCATGTTATTTTCATCACTGCCTACGCTTTTCTCCCATATCATTGATACCATATTTTTATCCAATCATAAATATTTTAATATACATTTTTAACAAACTGGAAAGGTATAAGGTAAATTACTAAACAA